GGGGGGCTACCTAAATCTTTACTTCAAAGAAGCTACATCAAAACTAACCCTCTTACCCTCATTATCAACATGCTAGAATTAGAAAGGCCCCTACAGGAGACCATAGCCCTGTGGACCAGCCATAGGACAGAGGGAGCTCAGGTCACCATATCGCCCAGATGACCCCCCTCTGCCAGCACAGACCCCTGCCATACATGATTAAGTGCCTCCGGCCTGAACTGGAGGCCTCCAGAGGCAGATAAAAGACTGGGTAAGCTATAAGGAGACATGGGTCCCAGTGCCAGCCTGAACTCTGGTGCATATCTTAGCTCCTCCCTCATCTAAAAGGGGACAACAAAACTGCTCTAACGACTGCTGCGATGATAAATGAGAAAATACGTAAGAAAATGCTAGAGTACCATTTCCCAAACTATCTTCTACGGTAGATATCCCATCAAGGAAATGAAGGGGTGGAAGGGGACTGGTAAAGTGAAATAGGCTTGGGAAACATCAGATACTAAATCTCATTCTAAAAGAGTCACCAGGAATGTTAGTACTGTCAAAGGCTCTGAGAAGTCCTGCAGTAGATGGACTGTCATAGTTGGATCCAGATTAACAGTGCAGGAAAACAATGCTTTGTGTGTCACCGTTTAGGAAACACTGCTGTAGAGAAAAAAGGTTTTATAGAGAGATAAAAACAGCAAAGTTTTGAAATCACACAAATGGGCTATAAACTACACTTTTCAGCAATAGTCAAGTTCATACTGGTTTTGGTTTATCATTTTAAGTTACTGCCAGATGACTCGTATAAAGATTCAGCCAAATGATAACCCCCAATCAAAGATATCAGACGAGTGTAACTCGCTTTTAAGGTGCTGTCCAAAAGCCACAAGAATAACCTAAGTCATCAAAGAAACCTCATTTACGCTATTACGTATTTATGATGGAGGAAAGACTATTTACGCATCCTATAAATATTCTCAATAACAATGAGAATCTGGTTAACTTCGAGTTAACTTAAAAGTGCCTGATGATAATATTCCAATTTGGGCTGCACACTCTGCATTTTCAGTATTAATCCATCCTCAAATTACTAAGACCCTATACATCAGATAACTTTGCCAAAATACCATGACATGTAACACAAACACACACCTTAAAATATATGCTTTTAACCATGGATAAACTCCTAAGAAAGTCGCTTAATTTTTCCTTTTTTTTTCATTATTTAACAACACTTTCCCTGCATTGTTTCCCTCACCCATTTAACTGATGACAGGTTTTCTAAATCTGACACTTTTCAATTCAGCAACTCCTGTCCTTTGAACAAGATCTGAAACCTGAGTTCCAGTTTCCATCTGTCTCTGGTGTTAGGTTTTGATGCCATAAGATGCTTCTGAAGGAGGAATGGCACACTGCCCAGGCCATTCCTATTTCAAGTCACTAGCATCTGCTCGTCGTGGGCATGGCCCACTTGGAAGGCCCGCAGCGCCAGGCAGGGTCCAGTTTAAGCAGATGCCTCCACTGTTCACGGGAAGGAGAACAAGGTTTCTGGAAAATAGTGTGCTCTATAGTCTCACCACTCCACATGCAGTGTAAATGAATGCCTTTCTAGCTTTCCAATTTCAAACTTTTATTTTTTATTTATTTATTTTTAAATATGTCTTTATTGATTTTAAATCGAGGAAGGGAGAGGGAGAGAGACATAGAAACATCAATGATGAGAGAGTCATCATTGATCAGCTGCCTCCTGCACACCCCCCACTCGGAGCACAACCTGGGCATGTGCCCTGACCAGGAATCGAACCATGATCTCTTGGATCCTAGGTCGATGCTCAACTGCTGAGCCACACCCGGCCGGGTTCAAATTTCAGACTTTTAAATCATTAATCAAAATGCACAACAGACAACCAATGCCCACATGAAAAGAAATTCTTTCGCACTGATGCAAAGTTGGGTCAGAGTCCAGAAAAACACGTTTCTGAGCCCTTTGCATTTAGATGGCCTTTGTCATTTCCTACCCAGAGTACAGGTTCTCTGACAAGGTAGTGAGCAAACTGTGAAACTGTGTGTGCATGGTATATGGGAAGAGAGGTGGGGGTGGGGGAACAAAGGAAGAAAGAGGGAAAAACTCTTTTAATTAACCTAGGGAGAAATTCTTTTAGATAACCTATGGATATCACTTAACAAATTCTATTCCTTCAAAATTTTGGGTCTTTGCAGTACCAGCTGGATATTTAAAGGCCTTGAGGGTTTTTTTTTAAAAAGGGCAAGGAATACAGATATCACCCCTAACTAATACACCCCCATGGAAGGTCAAAGAAGAGGCAGGGGCCCGAGACTGGACTTGCATCGGTCTGATCACTCATAACCTCACATTCCTCTTTTGTGCCCCTCACTGTTCCTCTTCACTGCTTGGCTGTGAAGTCCATGTCCCCATGTCCCTAATTCCTATACAATCCTCTGTACTGCACAGCCTATCCATGCAGTAGAGCCTCTAACGCTTGGAGACATGATGAATCTTGCCTTGGAGAAAGATACTAGTCACTCTGCCTTGACCTACAACTGAACCCCCATGGTAAAAAATATTTCCACAAATGGGGTAGAAAGGCACTTAAAGAAGAAAGAACTAGGTGCTCTAGCTGCCCATTCAACCCTTATTTTAGTTTATATTTAAATTTTTTGTGTAGTTGCCTTCTAGAGAGGTACAAAATTTATATGTTTCTATTTTTGCTATGGCCTGAAAGTTTGTGTCCCTCCAAAGTTCTTAAGTCGTTGGTATTAGGAGGTGGGGCCCTTGGAGGACAACTCGATCATCAGGGTGAACCCCCTGTGAATGAGATCAGTGCCCTTATACGAGAGACCCCAGAGAACTCACTCGCTCCTTCTGCCGTGGGAGGAAGCAGTGAGAAGTCTGCAACCTGAAAGGTGCCCCTGAACTCAGCCGCGCACCCTCCAGAACTGTGAGAAATCAATTTCTGTTGTTTATAAGCCGCCCAGTCTATGGTATTTTTGTTATAGCAGCAAAAGCTAATTAAGACAATTTTACACTTTTTAATAATTTAGATTTTGAAACATATAAATATTTCTTGGATCAGTCTTTCCACACACCTACTTTCTCCACTTCTTTTCAAAACAGTGATGATGGATGCTGTCTGAATTCTTTTTTGATGACAATCCATCAGCTAAATTATCCAGCTCGTCCCAATGCCCTAACTTCACTCATAGGGTAGGCAAAGCCATTTAGTCCCAAACACATTCATGTCTTCCTGTCTCTAAAAGTGACAAAAGTATTGGCCAAAGAATAAGTGGATATGATTTTTAAAAACCTTTTCATCCAATTCTTCCTATTGAATGAATGAGTGCTAATTCTATTCCCTTAATTAGCACACAATCCGTGGAAGCAGCATAATTTAGATCCATGCTTCTCGCATTTGAATATGCACACAGATCACCTGGGGACCTTGTGAAAATCCAGGTTCTGATCCGGTAGATCTGGGGTGGGCCTGAGATTCTGCATTTCTAAAAGGCTTCAGGTTCAAAAACCAGTCTTTGAGTGGCAAAGCAGTAGAAGGCAGGCAGAGGGGCACCTGGGTGTCGGGAACGTGAAAGGAAGGCCTGAGAAGGAGAGCAGGCCCAGTGTCACTGAGTCTGACCTGAAGAGGGGAATATAGGACACAAGGTTGGAAGTAAGGGAGACTGTAGCATTAAAGTGGTTTGAATGTCACAACTACAGGAAAGGGTAAAAAATTAAAAGTGAGGGGGGGGAAAAACAACACAAGGTCAAAGCTGGGAGAACTCAAAGGACTCTCAAACCCAGGTAACACATCTGCCAAAGCCACAGTCAAGGAATATGACACAGTGACTCCCTCTGAAGCCTAGTCAAATAAGACTCAGACATGTCACCAAGCGCCAAACCAAGTGATGACATAGTATTTAATCTTCCCTGGGGCTTAAAGAGCTAGATTTGCTCATACAGCTTCATCTGAGACACATCACAAGTCAAATCCCACAAGACTGAGAAAGCCAGCCTAAAATGGGGTAGCAAGTAAACGGCCTTTCCATCTGCTAAAACTGAAGTGGCAGCCACAGCAGCGTCCCTCTGCGAGGAGTGGTGTGGGCAGAAAGCAGACCAGAGAGGGCCCCCCCCACTGCTGCTGTGCCAGCCCAGCCAAATCTGCCAAGCCAGGGATGGCACAGGCATCTCAGGTGGGATGTAGTAGGTTTGGTGGGGGACACAAAAAACAGAGTATCCTGTCCTGGAAATATGATGCGCTGGGAGGGGGAAAAACTGTGAAAAAACAAGAACTGAAAA